ATAAATTGATTGATTCTGATATCCAATCACCAAACGAGAGAACACAATTATAATAATGGCCTGGATATTCTTGATATTTTTGGATATGCTTTTTTAATGATTTGATATTTTTGGGTAAACTTTTTTAATTGATTTGATTTTAAAATATTAAAAAATACATCATGCATAAAACATATATCAATAAATATCTAAATATTAAAATATTTTTAAAAATATTAAATAATTTTAAAAGTTTTTTCAAACATATTAAATCAAGGCCACTATAGAAAGACACAGCATTATGTACACAAATTATCCTTAAAAAAATGGCGAATTGCAGATTTCAGTGGAGGTACTTTCATCCACATACTGTCAATCAAAGTGAGAACAAAGACCGCAGGTTAGCGAATAACAAATCTCTGCTTTAAATCACAGAGTTTTTATTTTGACTTGATAAATTCAGCAAACAACTGTTGCAACTGGGTGACCACTGAGTAGATACAACTAGTGAAATTCACTGTTTGCCAATTTTATCTACAACTGGCCAAGTTCAGCCGAGTCTAGTCTTCATAGATGGTTGCAGGGAGGTCCACCAAGGGCTCGGCTGATCACAAGACACTTTGCAGTGAGCTCATCAGGGTCAAACGTCTAAAGAATCCTGGCAAGCTCAAATGCAGAGTTCTTGTGAGTTATGACACTGGTTTGGTTAGGCAATGCCATAGGGGAGAATTGACTGAGATTTATCAACACAAGAAGAGACATCTACCATTTATCACCGAGTGCTAGGTTCATTTTTAACCACTAGAGAAATACCCAAACTAATACGTTTTTAAAATGATGTTAGCAGTTTGACACTGCAAATGCTCACTACATTTTTCTCATAAGAGTCTGATCTTAATTTTATTTTTGCTGTTATTATTATGTTTCACTTTGTTTTGTTCCGTGTTTACTGCTACTTGATTATAAGTGCAGATATATGAGTATTTATTGTTTAGAACAGATATAATAAATATTCACATTTTTTATATACCGGTTATATTTTACTGTACTTCACTATTATATGCTTTCTGCATTTTGTTTCATGTGAATCTGAGCTGGAGTGACCTCAAGATTATCTGGGGTCCCAGAAGCTATAAGCGCTCCACCTGATATAAGTATTCATTTATTGTTAAATTTCCCCCTTTTATAACCTTGTAACGCGCTGCAGAATAAGTTGGCACTATATAAATACCAATAATAATAAAAAAAATAATAATAATAGATTGTAATTGAGCAGGGCCTTCTTCACCTCTTTTCTCTGATATTTTCTGAATGCAAATTACTTGCCAAATATACCCATTTTATAATTGCAAAGCGATACAGAATAGGTTGGCGCTATATAAACAATAATAATGATGTCACTCTAGCCACTGTTCAGCCAGCGCTGCCAGGGTTAATAAAAGGTAGTGACCTCACCTGTTTTCCATCGCCGCCTTGGTCTCTCCGCTACACTCCACCTCTATGGTTGGGATCATCGAGATCAATGATCTCAGCTAATCCAATGCTTTGCCACAGGAGAGCATTGGGAGGCTAGTGCACCAATCAGAGACCATCTGAGTAAAATCATTTTTTACTTTTTACTCTGCTATTTTACAGAAGAGCCTCTAGTGGCCCTGAAAGCCACTACATGCAGGTTAACATGCAGTGTAAATATTGCAGCTACTGCAGAACAGCGAACTGTGGGATGTTAAGTGGGGCACACGGCACCCAGACCACTTCATTGAGATCTATCATTGAAATGAAGTCTACAGGATGCCTATAGTGTCCCTTTAATGGAAAACCGATATGAAAATTGTAAAATGTAATTGCAGAAAGTTTATGTCAACTACTTTAATGTAGTTGTGGTTTTTTTTAAATGCTGTATATAGATTTCCTTTATAAAATTCCCAATGTTCTCTCAATTGACTAAGTCAGATTCTGCAGTTACATGCAAAGCCCACGCTGCTGTAAAATGCACACACAAGGAGGTGAGGGAAGATGTCATTGTCCAGTGTGGATGTGCGATACCACGGCAAGACAGACCACGGGTTTCAGATTCATTAAAGATGGCAAGTCAGCAAAATAAAACTTATACTCAAAAAATTCCTCCAGAACAAATATGGATTCGAATCTGTAGGTTCCAGACACAATGCACTGTTTAGCTGCCCTTACCGTGTAATCCTCCTTTTCTGCTGAGACTTGGTGACTGTATTTTCCTCATCACGCTTCTTTAACACCTGGTAGTTATACTCCAGCTTCTCCTGGTTTAGCTGGTAGGTTGCTTTCATTTGCTGCAGCTGCTGCTGAAGGAGCTAACGTAATAAAACAGACATTTATAACAGCGGTAATTGCCCCAGGTCCAGCTGACAATGTCATCATATCAATGTGTAGAGGAGAGATCACACATATCAGTCAATAGATAAACACGCTGTCATTTTAGCTGCCCACAGGGATATGTCCTTGTTATTAATGCAGTTTATGGACAAACATGTTTGTGACTCTTTTCTTCTCATCTGTACCTTTTCCAGGTTTATTATTTATTAATTATTAGGAGAAAATGTTAATAAAACAGAATTGGTATTCTCCGCTCCATCCTGCACATCAGTATCCATTTCCACTGTAGGCACTATAACCGTTTCAATCCTCCCATTCATTTTCACGCAATTTAACACTGAATGAGGGTCACGGCCACCCACATCCCAGGCAGAGCTCATACACTTCCTTCTACCATACCAACTCATACCAGCAATAAGAGCTCTGCTAGGCTGAAAGTGGTCAGCTGACACTCTCAGCCAATCACAGTCACTCATTGCTGCATGAACCCAAGCAGCACGGAGAGGACGACCAGATACCATAATCACTTCAATAAGATGAAGCAGTTCCAGTGTCTACAGTGACCCTTTAGCCATTATCTCCTTGATTTCCTGCACTGCTCTGCACATCTGTATCCAGTTCCTCAATATGATGTTCCCTCCACCCTGCACATCTGTATCCAGTTTCACAATTAGCATGTTCCCTCCACCCTGCAAATCTGTATCCAGTTACTATCTGAGCCATGGTCCCCTCTCTGTCCTGTATATCATTCTCGAGTAAGATCATTGATCATAGTACAATCTCAATTTTAATTTTCGATCTCTGTCATTCTCCAGTTACTATATGAGCCATGGTCCCCTCTCTGTCCTGTATATCATTCTCGCGTAAGAACATGGATCAAAGTACCATCTATGTTCTATATATCATTCTCTGTCATTCTCCAGTTACTATCTGAGCCATAGTCCCCTCTCTGTCCTGTATATCATTCTCGAGTAAGATCATTGATCATAGTACCATCTATATTCTATATATCATTCTCCAGTTACTATCTGAGCCATGGTCCCCTCTCTGTCCTGTTTATCATTCTCGAGTAAGATCATTGATCATAGTACCATCTATATTCTAAATATCATTCTCTGTTATTCTCCAGTTACTATCTGAGCCATGGTCCCCTCTCTGTCCTGTATATCATTCTCGAGTAAGATCATTGATCATAGTACCATCTATATTCTATATATCATTCTCCAGTTACTATCTGAGCCATGGTCCCCTCTCTGTCCTGTTTATCATTCTCGAGTAAGATCATTGATCATAGTACCATCTATATTCTAAATATCATTCTCTGTTATTCTCCAGTTACTATCTGAGCCATGGTCCCCTCTCTGTCCTGTATATCATTCTCGAGTAAGATCATTGATCATAGTACCATCTATATTCTATATATCATTCTCTGTCATTCTCCAGTTACTATCTGAGCCATGGTCCCCTCTCTGTCCTGTTTATCATTCTCGAGTAAGATCATTGATCATAGTACCATCTATATTCTATATATCATTCTCCAGTTACTATCTGAGCCATGGTCCCCTCTCTGCCCTGTATATCATTCTCGAGTAAGATCATTGATCATAGTACCATCTATATTCTAAATATCATTCTCCAAGTAGACAATCCCCTCTCAAACCTGCACGTCATTCTCCAGTTTGATCTTGATCAAATTGTATTCCTCGCCATCCTGGACCCGTAGTTGGTTTAGTTGATTCTCGTATTCCTCCACTTTCTTCATTCGGTTCATCAGGTCTTCCAGCTGTGAAAAAAGAATTTCAATGTGTTCAGTTCATAATGTCCAGCCAAGCATATATCGTAACTAACGTTAAGAAGAACTAATATTATAATCTGTGTATGCACGCGGCTCATACAAACAACCTGCATAATGAACGTGAATGTGCAGCTATTAATCTGCTGAAATGAGTTCTATTAGTAGAAGAGGAAGGGGATACTTTTCATAAATCCTACTTGCTGACAAGAAAATAAAGTATTAATCCTTTATTATGCCAGATTTTTGGCACCAGACACAAGAGCACAAAAAGTGATCTGCATTATAGCCTTGGATGCAGTGCGAACTTGTTACCTCCTTGTCCCTGCGAGCCTGCATTCCCTTCTCCCACTTGTTTCTGCTACTGTTTAAAAGCTCACGTCTCTCCGATTCGAAGGCTCTCTGCGAAATACAAACATCAGCACAAGGTAAAACAAAGCATTTGCAACAACAATGTATAGATTAAAAAGCACATCCTATGAAAAGAGTCATGTCGTATCTGGATGACAGATAAAAAAAAGCATCAACATACTGTGCAGGACATGTTCTGGTACAGCAGAATCGGCATTTTTAATGTATGTTATTCTTAATTTCTCCAACAAAAACTTGCTCCTTGTGTATTGTATAAAGTCCAGCAGCGCACCATACAATACCGTTACAAACAGAATGTTAACCAAGTCCATCATCATGAATACACATCTGGCCATGATGGAGCCAATGAAGCATTGAAGCACGACATCTAACAGTTATTGGTATATGGTGTAATGGCTGGTAGAATCTTTTCTATCAGTAAGAGGTGCCATCCCTACAAACTGTAAATAGCTTTCCGATACGTATGTGATGTCAGAGCAATGCCGTGCGTCTGTCTACCTCAATCTCCAGGAGTTCCTCCCGGTAGGTCTTCATTAAATTCTTTATCTGCTCCTCCATCCTTCCAATCAGAATGTCAATGTCTTCTGCCTGTTTCTTCAGGTCCTTAACGTAATGATCATCTTTTCTTTTCAGCTCCTATAGAGACACGCAATCGGTCATGCAGGGTTTCCATGCAGTAAGATAAAGGGTAATAAACGCTCATTGATAGCAGTAACATATTAACATACTAAATTTATCAGTACACACCTTATACACATGCCAGAGGTAGTCTCCGTAGAACACATACCAACGACTTTTACAATGTTACCTAACCTATGACACAAATTATACATTTTACCCCCAATTATACACATGGCAAAATGTATAACCGGGTCCCCCCACATTTTACACATGTCAGAATGTATCATGCGGTACCCACCCATTATACAAATGTCAGTGTATTACTGTGTAACCCACATTATAAACATATCAGCGGCCATTACCCGATACCCCTACATTATACACATGTCAGAGTGTATCACGCGGAACCCCCCCCATTATACAAATGTCAGAGTGTATCACGCGGTACCCCTCCCCCCATTATACAAATGTTAGTGTATTACCCTGTATCCCACATTATACACATATCAGCGACCATTACCCGATACCCCTACATTATACACGCCAGAGTGTATCATGCGGAAACCCCCCATTATACAAATGTCAGAGTGTATCACGCGATACCCCTCCCCCCATTATACAAATGTTAGTGTATTACCCTGTATCCCACATTATACACATATCAGCGGCCATTACCCGATACCCCTACATTATACACATGTCAGAGTGTATCACGCGGGAACCCCCCCATTATACAAATGTCAGAGTGTATCACGCGGTACCCCTCCCCCATTATACAAATGTTAATGTATTACCCTGTATCCCACATTATACACATATCAGCGACCATTACCCGATACCCCTACATTATACACATGTCAGAGTGGATTACCAGGTCCCCTCCCCCCAAATTATACACATATCAGAGTGTATTAACCTGAACCCCTACTTTATAAAAGATGTGAAGTATTACCCAGAAGACCCACCTGTTGCAGCTCGCCAATGAGCTTGTTCTTGTCCTCGATGAGCTGGCCGCATTGCTGCTGCTGAGAGTTCAGTAACTCCCACTGCTCCTGAGGGATCTTCTTAGTTCCAGTGGACAACCATTTTTTTGTGATTTCCTCAAATTTCTCCAGGCTGGTCTTGGCCTCATTATCTAATCTCTCTATTCTGGTAAAATGAGCAGAGGATATAGTAGCGTTAGACTAGGAATTTCTACAAGAGAAGAGGTATCTCAAATACAGAGTTTTGATATGAACAACACAGATAATGTCACTGACATAGATAAACGATTAGAGAGAAAACTCAGAGCCACTGTTTTGTAAGCCTTAAATAACATGTAAATAATACAAAGTGTATCACAAATCCCCTGCCAACATAAAGGTGTCAGTCTAAGCACCATAACAAGTTGTACCATTACAAAGGATACATCTCATGCACTTAGTCTTCCTGCCAAGCGTGCCTTAAAATTACATTGATTTGCAAAATTAACTGAATACTGTAGGCACTAAAACAACCTTTATAAGGGTGCGAGGCCTGACTGCCATGCCAGCAGGACGTGACCTGCATGAACTCCAGGCAATTGCTCAAAAATCAGTGGGTCAAGTACCAGACTCATCAACACTCTACATTGACTTGTACGTTGCTCCAGCTTGGGTCTACCCAATATAAGCGACAAATATCTATCTATCTATGGACAAAACTTGGATGAAGGCTCTAAATACTCTGTGACCTGGTGCGCACTGAAGAAGGTAGAGGCAGTCGCTCTCCCGCCCTGAGTGACCAGAGCTGACAGTTAGTGCCCTACCGGCCCACCCCTTTGCACCGGTGGAGGTGATCCCAGTCTATACCCAGATGGCTCCTCTGCTTTAGGGCCCAAAAAGTGTTGATATCATGTGGCACATAAAATGGCAACGCCACATGCTTCTCCAAACCCAGTTGTGGAGAGATGACTGTGCTGGACAAGCTGAATAAGATCTTTGCACTGTTCTGAAAGAAACTAGCCGCATGCAAGTTCATTACTAGGCCTTTTTTATTTGACCTGTTTTTCTGCTGCTGAATCCTGAGCTATATATCCTTGGTGGGGATAATACCACCCAAGCCAATTAGATTGAGCAAACCTCATTTTTCTCTGGAGCATATGAGTAAGTTTTTATTATGTTTTAAGGTGCGCACTACTTTGGCTTTTTATTTCTCTTTTATATATACACGGAGGATTATCCACATCACCTATATCCTAGAGTGGGGATCAACCCACTTCACGTATTACTTCTGGAGCCAATACTTAGGCTCCAAAATATGTGAGTGTACACCTAACTACATACCTACCCCTGCTTATTAGCTCACCATACTATACTATATACTTTTATTTTGTCTTTTGTGTTTTATGAGGATACCCATCGCAGTAAGGAAAACTTGAAGAATCTGTACTATATCCATAGGCGTGGATCATTTTGCCCAGGTCGGAGCTGTATTTAAGCTCCCTGAAAGTGTGAGTGTACAATTTTTAATTTTCCTTACTCTATTAAGAAGTTTTTAACTACACTATCAGTCATTTTTGTTTTCCCTTTTTTGTCATTGCATACATTCCCTAAAGGATACTTCAGGCGCTGCACTTTCTTTTCCAGCCATCTCAGGACCAAATGCATGGAACAAATGCACGGAAGGTCTGGACCGCAACCAAATGTAGGACCCGGCAGCGGTAGAGACACTTGGCCAGAAGGGTGAGAGTCAGGTGCAACTTACCCTCAAGCCTGCACATGCGGAGTGCTTGTTTCACCATACAGCGTGGATGGATGCAGCAGCGGCACTGTGTATCATTATGCCCTGGAAGCCTATTTAATAGTGTTGGGGATCTGTGGGGTTGAATACTCTAGTCTTACATCTAGAATGTCTGGAAGATTTGTTTACTAGCAAGCATATATTTCTCTCGCTATCTAGACATACTTACTTAGCCTGCTTAATATACCTTAAAATTGTGCTATTGTTTCTCATGCCACATCTGTGTTTCTAATTGTTTGATATTACTGAGCCTATGCGTGCTATTATGGTGCTATTATGGCGTGGTAGGTGTGTTTTGTACTTCATGCACAGCAAAAAATAAATCTAAACAACCTTCATGTTATGGAAGTTGTTACAGTGCCTTTAGTCCTATCTCCTAAAAAATTTTATTTTAAATATTTGTATTAAAATAAAATGCCTTCCAAGCCCTCTCTATACGACAGCCGAGACTGTTACTTCCCGTCTTTCACACTCTAATATACCGTGACGCCATCTGCGCATCCACCGTGCTCTCACTGTATTCAAAGATTCTCTTTGGCAGGATCATAGGCACATCACGGCAAGCGCCGTGCATTCACCTACAGTCTTCAATGCTAATCTATCAGGAGCAATGGATTGGACCATCATCCAGGAAACATCAGACGAGGAGCAGGTTGCGAAAGACCCGATGGTGGAGAGAAGGTGAGTCATTTCTTTTTTTCCCATTCATTTTTGTTTTAATTACTAACACTGGTGAGGCCCTGAAACTAAATAAGCACATCAAGACTTTGCAGTGTCAGGAATACAGATCTGGCTCTCAGATGTTCTCCTTTGAGTGAGATGTGTATTGTGTGTGCACTCTGGATTTACCACAAGGAAGCATACTCTTCCTTCCCGGAGAGTGGCTTTCTGCACGGATCACAGTTTAGTAGTTCACTACTCACAGCCTGAAACTAGTTTTGTATAAGATAGCAAAAGTTGTATGGCTACTATCAGTTAATGCTATAACCCACTATTCATGATGAAGAGCTGCCGGTCTTTCTAAATGAGTGTAAAACCATTAATAAGTTCAGACGAGACATGTTTGTGACTTCATGTTCGGCACATGTATATATCGTTGGATGGTGTCCACAACCCATACCTTAGTCTCCTCAGCTCTTCTTCTTCTGCCCTTCTTTGGGTCTCCCTGGCATCAGCTGCTATCTGAACATTAGTCACTAGTTCTGTGCCATCCCTCAACAGTTTGGTCAATCGCTGAGAATGAGAGAAAGATATCACAAAATGATTTACTTTCAGATTCCATGTGCAGTGTAATATGTTTAGTGTATGTAAGCTTTATCAGGAAATAAACCTGAATTATTCATTGAATTTGCACAGGTACTAAACAACAGGTATAGCCTTGTGGATGATAATCACCAATAACCACAACCAACTTCTGAATAAAGAAAGCTGCATTTATTGAAAGCAAGACACAAAGCAATACTGATTAGTTATGGGTGAGGCAAGGTCCATTAGAAAATTAGCTAAAAGTGTTGATCCAGTAACTTAAATGTATATAGATGGAAACAATATAGGCAATGTGCTACTTCAACGGACATTATAGCATTATGAACAGAAATTCCCCAGTTATATTTAGAGCTCATTGAAGTAGTCTGGGTGCAATGTACCTGTCCCCGTAATGTTTGTTATTGGAAATTCTGATAAACTGCAATAATTACATTGCAGGGTTAAGACAGCTGTCAATCAGACAGCCAATAGAGGCACTTCCTGGTTTTTAGAAAATAGTGTGTCATATAAAGTGTGTCCGTGGCTTGTTTCCACATCATGTGCACTCCAAAAACATTTATACTCAGGACTCATGCATTTAATGACATGACTGTACACAGTGACATCTAGAAAATGTCTGAGAGAGATTTAAACAAACACTGGCAACATTCAACCAGCAGCAAACCATCGGTCTTAGATTGCAAGCTCACCTGTCTGCTGTGCTCAACCTGCTTATGGCTCTTTCTGGGCTCTTCCTTCTTATCCTTGTGAACATTAGGATCCTCCCCAAGTGCTTCCCTATTAAAAGTGTGACAAGGCAGGTCAGTGTTTAGGGACTGCACACTTGCAATAGAATAATAACCCATTAGTGTAGCGGAGGACACAAAGTGGGCAAACCCCTTGAAAATGCAGATATGGAAGAAAAGGATCCGGGCACGCAGACTTTAATCGGACACAAAATACAAAATGATGACATTTTGACCACACAATGTGGTCTTAATCAAATCTAGACTATATCAGATTTATCAAATTCAGATTATACCAGATGTCAGATTTGATAAGGACCACATTGAGTAGTCAAAGATTCATAATTTTGCATTGTGTCCATTTCAAGTCTGCATTCCCTACTGAAGTGCCCGGATCCTTCACTTCTATGTTTGCGTTTAGTAATCACTGATATTTCATGGGACACTTTCCTAAGCACCAAAACAGTCTCACCGCTCAATCTGCCATTTAGGAGTTAAATCCCGATTGTTTCTGTTTATGCTGCCCTAAACACACAGGCTACATTTAAAAAATAGTTTCATTTTCAATTAAATCTTACAGCACAGGGTGTTTGCTTCAGGAGTTTATATCTCCTGCTCTTTTAATTGAACTTTAATGACACATAGGAGGCTGCTGTGGGCTCTAGCAGGCAAATAACAGAGCAGGAGATTTCAAATGAAAGGGAAACTTTAGTTCCAGGAAAAAAGTTGTTTTGCCCCCTTCCTCCTTCCCATGGGGTTAAACAAAACTCTTCTGTCACTTACCTGATTCCAGAGCTGATGTCCCTTGGCGCTGGGACCTGCTGACAAAGGGTACCTAATGTAAGTCAATGGCTTTCCCATGGGATTTCAGGTGTCAATGGATGTCCTTCTGCATAGTGTGAGGACATCCAGCGTCAATTAGGCGACCAAAAGTCGGAAGCCCTCTAGTGGCTGTCTGGTAAACAGCCACAAGAGGTGGAATTAACCCCCAAAGGTAATTATTGCAGCTTATTTAAATCTATTAAATAATTACAATTGCAGGGTTAAGGGACCTGGGACATTGTACCCACACCACTTCAATGAGCTGAAGTTGTCTGAGTGCCTATACTGTCCCTTTAAACCACACTGCGCAATAAAGTAGGTTTAAAAAATAAACCTCTTAAGAAGTGTGTAAAAAGGCTGTGTAAGTCACAGCCAGATGAGGTGTTGCTAGAGCTGCATAAACAAAGTGATTTGACTCCTAAATGGCAGAGAACTGAGCAGTGAGGCTGCAGGGGCATGTTCTATACACCAAAACTGCTTCATTAAGCTAACGTTGTCTTGGTGCTCATTGCAATTAGACCACTGTTTTACTAAAATTTTATTTAAATTAGAGATTAATTCACATGCAGTCTGAATTGTAGTTTCAAGAACAACTTGTGGTTCTTCAAGTGTTTATTGTATAGATTACGGTGTAATCTCCCCGCACACAGTGTATTATAACTGAAGCTATACAGTTATGGTGTAAGGAGGTCCCCTGTCTCCCAGCACACAGTGTATTATAACTGCAGCTATAAGGTTATGGTGTAAGGAGGTCCCCTGTCTCCCAGCACACAGTGTATTATAACTGCAGCTATAAGGTTATGGAGTAAGGAGGTCCCCTTTCTCCCTGCACACAGTGTATTATAACTGCAGCTATAAGGTTATGGTGTAAGGAGGTCTCCCCGCACACAGTGTATTATAACTGCAGCTATAAGGTTATGGAGTAAGGAGGTCCCCTTTCTCCCTGCACACAGTGTATTATAACTGCAGCTATAAGGTTATGGTGTAAGGAGGTCCCGTCTCCCCGCACACAGTATATTATAACTGAAGCTATACGGTTATGGTGTAAGGAGGTCCCCTGTCTCCCCACACACTGTGTATTATAACTGCAGCTATAAGGTTATGGTGTAAGGAGGTCCCGTCTCCCCGCACACAGTATATTATAACTGCAGCTATAAGGTTATAGTGTAAGGAGGTCCCCTGTCTCCCCACACACTGTGTATTATAACTGCAGCTATAAGGTTATGGTGTAAGGAGGTCCCGTCTCCCCGCACACAGTGTATCATAACTGAAGCTATAAGGTTATGGTGTAAGGAGGTCCCCTGTCTCCCCACACACAGTGTATTATAACTTCAGCTATAAGGTTATGGTGTAAGGAGGTTCCCTGTCTCTGTCTCCCCACACACAGTGTATTATAACTGAAGCTATAAGGTTATGGTGTAAGGAGGTCCCCTGTCTCCCCGCACACAGTGTATTATAACTGCAGCTATAAGGTTATGATGCAAGGAGTTCCCCTGTCTCCCCGCACACAGTGTATCATAACTGAAGCTATACGGTTATGGTGTAAGGAGGTTCCCTGTCTCCCCGCACACAGTGTATTATAACTGCAGCTATAAGGTTATGGTGTAAGGAGGTTCCCTGTCTCTGTCTCCCCACACACAGTGTATTATAACTGAAGCTATAAGGTTATGGTGTAAGGAGGTCCCCTGTCTCCCCGCACACAGTGTATTATAACTGCAGCTATAAGATTATGGTGTAAGGAGGTCCCGTCTCCCCGCACACAGTGTATTATAACTGCAGCTATAAGGTTATGGTGTAAGGAGGTCCCCTGTCTCCCCGCACACAGTGTAATATAACTGCAGCTATAAGGTTATGGTGTAAGGAGGTCCCCTGTCTCCCTGCACACAGTGTATTATAACTGCAGCTATAAGGTTATGGTGTAAGGAGGTCCCCTGTCTCCCCGCACACAGTGTATTATAACTGCAGCTATAAGGTTATGGTGTAAGGAGGTCCCCTGTCTCCCCACACAGTGTATTAAAACTGCAGCTATAAGGTAATGGTGTAAGGAGGTTCCCTGTCCCTGTCTCCCCACACACAGTGTATTATAACTGCAGCTATAAGGTTATGTGTAAGGTGGTCCCCTGTCTCCCCGCACACAGTGTATTATAACTGCAGCTATAAGGTTATGATGCAAGGAGTTCCCCTGTCTCCCCGCACACAGTGTTTTATAACTGAAGCTATAAGGTTATGGTGTAAGGAGGTCCCCTGTCTCCCCGCACACAGTGTATTATAACTGCAGCTATAAGGTTATGGTGTAAGGAGGTCCCCTGTCTCCCCGCACACAGTGTATTATAACTGCAGCTATAAGGTTATGGTGTAAGGAGGTCCCCTGCCTCCCCGCACACAGTGTATTATAACTGCAGCTATAAGGTTATGGTGTAAGGAGGTCCCCTGTCTCCCCGCACACAGTGTATTATAACTGCAGCTATAAGGTTATGGTGTAAGGAGGTCCCCTGTCTCCCCACACAGTGTATTAAAACTGCAGCTATAAGGTAATGGTGTAAGGAGGTTCCCTGTCCCTGTCTCCCCACACACAGTGTATTATAACTGCAGCTATAAGGTTATGTGTAAGGTGGTCCCCTGTCTCCCCGTACACAGTGTATTATAACTGCAGCTATAAGGTTATGGTGTAAGGAGGTCCCCTGTCTCCCCACACACAGTGTATTTTAACTGCAGCTAAAAGGGTATGGTGTAAGGAGGTCCCCTGTCTCTGTCTCCCTGAACACAGTGTATTATAACTCCAGCTATAACGTTATGGTGTAAGGAGGTTCCCTGTCTCTGTCTCCCCGCACACAGTGCATTATAACTGCAGCTATAAGGTTATGGTATAAGGAGGTCCCCTGTCCCTGTCTCCCTGCACACAGTTTATTATAACTGCAGATATAAGATTATGGTATAAGGAAGTTCCCTGTCCCTGTCTCCCCGCACACAGTTTATTATAACTGCAGATATAAGATTATGGTATAAGGAGGTCCCCTGTCCCTGTCTCCCCACACAGTTTATTATAACTGCAGATATAAGGTTATGGTGTAAGGAGATCCCCTGTCTCCCTGCACACAGTGTATTATAACTGCAGCTATAAGGTTATGGTGTAAGGAGGTCCCGTCTCCCCGCACACAGTGTATTATAACTGCAGCTATAAGGTTATGGTGTAAGGAGGTCCCCTGTCTCCCTGCACACAGTGTATTATAACTGCAGCTATAAGGTTATGGTATAAGGAGGTTCCCTGTCTCTGTCTCCCCGCACACAGTGTATTATAACTGCAGATATAAGATTGTGGTATAAGGAGGTTCCCTGTCTCTGTCTCCCCGCACACAGTGTATTATAACTGCAGATATAAGGTTATGGTGTAAGGAGGTTCCCTGTCTCTGTCTCCCCACACACAGTGTATTATAACTGCAGATATAAGGTTATGGTGTAAGGAGGTTCCCTGTCTCTGTCTCCCCACACACAGTGTATTATAACTGCAGCTATAACGTTATGGTATAAGGAGGTCCCCTGTCTCCCCACACAGTGTATTATAACTGCAGCTATAAGGTTATGTTGTAAGGAGGTCCCATGTCTCCCTGCACACAGTGTTTTATAACTGCAGATATAAGGTTATGGTGTAAGGAGGTTCCCTGTCTCACCGCACACAGTGTATTATAACTGCAGCTATAAGGTTATGGTGTAAGGAGGTCCCCTGTCTCCCCACACAGTGTATTAAAACTGCAGCTATAAGGTAATGGTGTAAGGAGGTTCCCTGTCCCTGTCTCCCCACACACAGTGTATTATAACTGCAGCTATAAGGTTATGTGTAAGGTGGTCCCCTGTCTCCCCGTACACAGTGTATTATAACTGAAGCTATACGGTTATGGTGTAAGGAGGTCCCCTGTCTCCCCACACACAGTGTATTTTAACTGCAGCTATAAGATTATGGTATAAGGAGGTCCCCTGTCTCTGTCTCCCCGCACAGAGTGTATTATAACTGCAGCTATAACGTTATGGTGTAACGTTATAGCTGCACCTCCTTACACCATAACCTTATAGCTGCAGTTATAATACACTGTGTGCGGTGAGACAGGGAACCTGTCTCCCCGCACGCAGTGTATTATAACTGCAGCTATAAGGTTATGGTGTAAGGAGGTCCCCTGTCTCCCAGCACACAGTGTATTATAACTGCAGCTATAAGGTTATGGTGTAAGGAGTCCTCTCAAAAGGAACGTCACAAACCTGCCTAATCAACAAACGCCGGCCATATAACCGAAGCTATACGTTATGGTAAGGAGGTCCCCTGTCTCCCCAGCTGGCCACCGTGTATTATAACTGCAGCTATAAGCTGTGGTGTAAGGAGGTCCGCCTCCCTCAAGCACACAGTATATTGGCGTAACTGCAGCTGTTATAGTGTAAGGAGTGTCCCCGTCTCCCCGGCCACACTGTACGCAATGCAGCTATAAGGTTAGTGGTGTGTTAGGAGTCCCGTCTCCCGCGACAATAGTGTCATAACTGAAGCTATAAGGTTATGGTGTAAGGAGGTCCCCTGTCTCCCCGCACACAGTGCATTATAACTGCAGCTATAAGGTTATGGTATAAGGAGGTCCCCTGTCCCTGTCTCCCTGCACACAGTTTATTATAACTGCAGATATAAGATTATGGTATAAGGAAGTTCCCTGTCCCTGTCTCCCCGCACACAGTTTATTATAACTGCAGATATAAGATTATGGTATAAGGAGGTCCCCTGTCCCTGTCTCCCCACACAGTTTATTATAACTGCAGATATAAGGTTATGGTGTAAGGAGATCCCCTGTCTCCCTGCACACAGTGTATTATAACTGCAGCTATAAGGTTATGGTGTAAGGAGGTCCCGTCTCCCCGCACACAGTGTATTATAACTGCAGCTATAAGGTTATGGTGTAAGGAGGTCCCCTGTCTCCCTGCACACAGTGTATTTAAAACCAACTCTCACTGTGAACTGGAGAAGCCTACAAAACGCCTGCTCCCTTTGGACTATGGCCCTGCAGGTTAAAAACTGTTTATTTCCCCTGCAGAAAGGCTTATTTGTGTGATCTGAGGGCCATTCATCTAATAATGTGCACTCAGATCCCAGCTATCTGGGGATATATGAAATGTCTGTGTGTTATGTGTAAATGTGACTTTATGTATTTTAAAGTGTTTTGTGTCTTTTTGCAACCATGTGCTTAATGGAGTCTGTGTCTATCCTGGGAGATAATTGAATTACTTATCTCCAGGATAGAAGACTCTGAAACTGGTTTGGGCCAGAAAGCCATGCTTCATTTAGTCACAAAGGACTTTTTACTAACTTTTGAACCCCTTGTCTGATTTGTGCCATTTTTGAATATGTTGTTCCCCTGAATGGATTGATTGTGAATATGTAATTTTATGGGAATGTGATGTATGGTTTTAGAGTTATGAAAGTTGGGTAGAAAGTATGTTTTAACTGTATGTGTAATTGAGTTTCCTCTCAGGATAAGGGGAGGGAATATGTGGGATGTAACTGATATGTGATTGGTTGTTTTGTAACGCCCTGTGGGCTGTACTATGTTTGTGATTTGGGAATAAAAGAGACTGTATGTGACAGTACAGGGAGTTCCTGTTTAACCCTCAAAGTGAAGTGTCGTCTCATTATTGGGGGAAGGATTTATTGTATGCTGTTCCAGTTTGACTGCTAGGAGAGTAAACCTATTCGTATGGTTCCTATTCAACTGTCTACAGCATTCATATGCTTGGGAGAATTTATTTGTTTCTCCGGTTCGGTGATTGTGGTGTCTGCTGCAGTGTTTGGAGTCCTCAGGAAGCGCTAGGAGCATCCTTCAACGGAGGTACCCAGTCGGGGTGCCAGGCGATCCGTTACATTGGTGGCAAGCGGTGGGATGGCGTCCTAGTGCGAGGTAAAACAGCTCAGAGACACAGTTCGTTTGGATTTACAAATTGAAGGCGACGCTAGTGTTTATACAGCGTCCCTGTCTACATAAAGATTTGGGAAAATGGGGTTCGTGGATCCTTGGGCACCTCGCACACCTGAGGAAGAGGGTGAATTGGACTGGAGAGATATTGCCCGGCAATAACTATGGTACAATGCCCTGGAGGAAGTCCAGTATCAACGGCAGCAGCGCCTTCCTGGTGTCGCATACCGGTTGGAGGAACAAATGGCCTGGCGGATGCCGCTTCTGGGAGACCAACCCGGAGGGCAGCAGGTCAGACAACTTGAGTACCTTGTGGAAAGGGAACTGAGCCTTGACGCCTCATACCGGGCACTGTGGTGGTGCACTGTCCAGCCAGAGACATGGAGGGCAGAGGGCATCCAGCCGGAGGGGGAGAACTACACTAGCCCTGGCCTGTTGTGGAAGGCCTTAGCAGAAGACGTCGACTTTGGCAGTCCAGCAGAGTCACGGTACTGGGCTATCTTTTATTACCGGGGTGAGATGGTACAGGGCCCGAGATCTATGGGACTGGGACAAGACCTCCACCGTTTGGCTGCCATGGAACGACAGCTAGAGATGGACTATGTGGAACTACTAAACTCATGTCAGCCACAGGGCATAGACACAGAACAGGAAAACTGGCTGGGAGACCCAGACCTGCCAACCTACAGCTGGGAAAACGCAGCCGAGGTACCCCCTGCTTCACTACCAGCGGCAGAAGTAGGGGACCTCATAGACTGGTCCTGGGAAGACCCACAGATGGCAGGTGGAGATGGGATGGCGGTCTCTCTACCGGCCCTACAGGGATGCTGGGCGGTCGGCCCAGATCTCCAGCCGCAGTGTGTACCCCAGGGAGCAGAAGGTGCAGTCCTTCCTCCCCAGCGGCAGTGTGTCCTGCAGGAAGCGGAGACAGTCGGTCTCGCTCCCCAGCAGCAGGGCAATATATTAAAAGGGGAGACAGTTGGTACCCCTCTCCAACAGCAGAGAGAGTGTCAGGGAGAGGAGCTTGTTATCCCCTCTCCCCAGCGGCTGAAAGTATGTATGGGAGAGGAGCTCGTTACCCCCCCTCCCCAGCGGCAGCGTGTACCCCAGGGAGATGAAGGTGCCGTCCTTCCTCCCCAGCGGCAGTGTGTACCCCAGGAAGCAGAGACCATCTGTCTCGCACCCCAGCCGCAGGACAAAATATTGAAAGGGGAGACAGTTGGTCCCCCTCTCCACCAGCAAAGAGAGTGTCAGGGAGAGGAGCAGGTTACCCCCTCTCCCCAGCGGCAGTCTACAGTTCAGAGAGAGGAGCTTGTTACACCCTCTCTCCAGCGGCAGCCTAACCCACCAAGGGGAGATGTTAAGCCCCACAACTATGCAGATGGGACCGTAGTCTCTGCACTTGCAGCCCCAGGGGCAGGGACGGTCGGTCCTGTCCCCCAGCCACAGAGCAGTGTATCCAGAGGGGAGACAGTCGGTCTCCCCCTCCCCCAACCAGGCTCCAACCAGGCTACTTCAGTGGTAGCGCTGGCACCCGGGCAGAGTACCGCTGGTCTCTGCCCACTCAGCAACCCACCAAGGCAGTCTACCAGCCCCCCGCACAGCCGTGGTGAGGCACCTGGACATGGACAAGTTGCTATTTTATCCAGGTGTAGTAACCAGTTATTGTGGGTGGGCTGTATTGCTGTTTGTGCTTCGTGGGTGGGTTGCTGGACTAACCAGGGCACTGACCGGCAGGAGGTCAGATACCCTGTTAGTCTAGTTGGTAAAGGGGAGAAGTGTGGCGAAACCAACCTCGCCACTGTGAACTGGAGAAGCCTGGTTGCTCGCCTGCTCCCTTTGGACTATGGCCCTGCAGGTTAAACTGTTTATTTCCCCTGCAGAAAGGCTTATTTGTGTGATCTGAGTGCCATTCATCTAATAATGTGCACTCAGATCCCAGCTATCTGGGGATATGTGAAATGTCTGTGTGTTATGTGTAAATGTGACTTTATGTATTTTAAAGTGTTTTGTGTCTTTTTGCAACCATGTGCTTAATGGAGTCTTGTGTCTGTCCTGGGAGATAATTGAATTACTTATCTCCAGGATAGAAGACTCTGAAACTGGTTTGGGCCAGAAAGCCATGCTTCATTTAGTCACAAAGGACTTTTTACTAACTTTTGAACCCCTTGTCTGATTTGTGCCATTTTGAATATGTTGTTCCCCTGAATGGATTGATTGTGAATATGTAATTTTATGTGAATGTGATGTATGGTTTTGGAGTTATGAAAGTTGGGTAGAAAGTATGTTTTAACTGTATGTATAATTGAGTTTCCTCTCAGGATAAGGGGAGGGAATATGTGGGATGTAACTGTGATGTGATTGGTTGTTTTGTAACGCCCTGTGGGCTGTACTATGTTTGTGGATTGGGAATAAAAGAGACTGTATGTGACAGTACAGGGAGTTCCTGTTTTAACCCTCAAAGTGAAGTGTCGTCTCATTATTGGGGGAAGGATTTATTGTATGCTGTTCCAGTTTGACTGCTAGGAGAGTAAACCTATTCGTATGGTTCCTATTCAACTGTCTACAGCATTCAAATGCTTGAGAGGATTCATATGCTTCTCCGGTTCGGTGGTTGTGGTGTCTGCTGCAGTGTTTGGAGTCCTCAGGAAGCGCTAGGAGCATCCTTTAACAGAGGTACCCAGTCGGGGTGCCAGGCGATCCGTTACACACAGGTTGGGGGTATCCTAGACTATAATGCGTAAAATAACAACTATGAATAGGATAGCCCCAACCTGACAGCAAAAAGCAATATATAAACTGAATCCAGAAATAAATAAAAAAACAGTTTAAACCATGGTGTTATAAAAAATTTAATAAATCGAAATCTACGTTTAAACCTTGAGGGGCTAGGGTCTGTAAATTGAATGCCCATTTCATTTCGGAGGCCACATGGGCACTCCAGTAAGTAGATGACATTTGTAGTGCTACATCCAATAAAATCTCTTATAGTATAGCACTTATTGGTTATATTGGATTTAAAACTGGTAACAAGACATTTGCCCTGGGCATTTGGGGGTGGCTTTTTTTTGCCGCCCCCTGGAAAATGCAGCCCAAGGCAAATGCCTTGCTTGCCTCACAGCTAATACGTCCCTGCATATAGGAGTAATAGAGAAAAGAAGAGACATAAGATATAAGGTTAAAGCTAGTAGGGTTTCTTGGGATTCAAGAATGAGAAGGAAGAGCAAAGATAATCTAAGAGTCGTCTTTATATTGATGACATATCTGCCAGGATTAGGGCTGTTGGGCAGGTAGGCCTAAATTAAAATAAGGAAAGGTAAAATTAATGAAAGGACAATCTGTGAGCTGTGCTTTGGATGAAGTAGATAGAAGAAGAGTCAAACTTCAGTAATGTGGGAAGGTATGGAAAAGAAAAGAAGTACAAAGAAGAGCATAGTTGATCAATTAAAAAAGAAATGTATAGGATGGGGTTAATCAAGGGAAGCTAGTATTTGGGTATCAAAAGAGAAGGTAAGTAGAATAGATTAAACAGATTCCCTGTAGAGAATAATAAGGAGGGGGGGAATTAAAGATTAAAATTACAGACCTCATAAATAACCGTTAGAGGTGCATACATAGCGCTGGTACCCAGAGCCTATGCGACTTACATTCTCCATTTATGGGATGATAATATTAAGCAGTCGAGAATTGCCCACTATTTCAATTCTCTTAGATCTTAGAGATCGTTATCAAATAAGTGAAAAGTATTCCATACAATTAATGATCACAATCTGTTATAAAAATAGATTTATTTATTATGACCAATAATTAACAATAATATTAGGCAGCATGCATGATAATAATCAGTGAATATTTAGTACAACATAAATATGCAATACAATGGAATAGCTATACATGTTCCAAAGGCTAACAGCACTTTCTGTCACTTAAGATTTATGAGGTATTTTTATACAGCGAAAGTAAAGCTTTTCACAGCGAAGAGCCATAAAACCTTGGCTAACAGTTAAAACAACTGAATAACCCTTTCAATGCTGGCTAGATCCTCCTAGGCATATAGTATCCCATTCTCCTGTGATTTACAATTAGAATAATATTTAAACCAGCTCATTAGTCATTTCCTGGAACCATCCAATAAGAATAATCTACCAGATTTTTACAAAAGTCGAATTTTAATTTGTCTAAAAAGATATCTTATCTTATATTAGAGCAAATCAATACACCTGGATAGAAACAGCGGTATGCTAACACGTGATACTATCACATTAATATATAATTATTCTTAATTCCACCTGCAGAATGGAATGTTTATAACTATATATTCTTTAGTTAACTAAGATTTCTAAATATTGAAATCTGACCGTGATTTATCCAGTCATATATCATGCTATTAGTAAATTTTAATTAATTTAAATTAATTAAATAAAACCAGCATAATTACCAGTTATGTAGATATTCTCATCAGATGAGTAGATAGACCCAGGAACTTGATTGGTTGTATGGAGTGCGTGAGTGATAGAGAAAGTGGTGTTGGTTAGAAAGTCAGATTAAAACTCTAAGTGTTAAGAGTTTAAAAGAGTTGAGTGTCCATGAGTTTAAGAGTCGAGTGTTATTCCCAGATATTGTCCTGGAGTCTCTCTCTCTGCATGTCCGAATCGGAATCCCAAACTTCCCATTGGTCTCCTCTCTGTCTATTCTCTGTATTCCTAACTTTTCCCTTTGTCCTTACTTTTAAAGGGCCAGACTCTTTGTACGACATTAGTTGATAAACCAATAAGAAGCCGTAGGTGTGTCCAATCTATGGATTGCAATTTAGGTATTTGATCCATAGAGGGCAGTCTCGTCTAACGAATCCTTCTTATCCAGGAAAGAGTTAACTTTTCCTGATGACGATTTTGACATCATTTGGCTTATCTAAAATGACTACCATAACTTAGATTTGCTGTCAGTTCAAAGCGTTTGTCCCAGTCTTTGTGGCAACTACTTTGATCGTAATTTGTAAAATTGACAGTTCTAAACTCAGTTTCAACCCTTACTTACAATGGAACCTTGTAAAATTTAGAAAGTAAAATTAATTACTTAGTCTTCTCTGTCACTAGTGTCTGTGTTTAGATAATGCATTCCTCAGCTCAAACAAGTGGCTAGTTACAGAACGTAAGGAGAAATCAAGGAACTTATGTGTTTTTGTTATCCTGAAGATAGCAAAATGGAGTCCGCTTTGTTCTGAGTGACTTTGGCAATATACACTTTTAGTTTATTTTTACCACAAAATGTCTGTTGATATAAATATTCTAACAGTACTCTACACACAAGAATGGGAGGGAGAAGTGCCGAGGGGAAACTGGGAAGGCACAGATTATATCGAGCTATATATGTTAACAAGAAAACCAAACAAAAAACAACCTTTTCATCATGGTTCAGCGAATGCACTATCTAATGTGAGTGGCAGCAGGGATAAAGGGAGGTCAAGACACTTCCACACCTCAGAGGGGACAGGTACACCCTACCCCAGGTGACGCAACCTCTCTTCTAAACAAATCCATGGACAGGACTCAGATACCCCACTCCACCACCCCCTCCACCTCTCAGCTACAGAGTACCTATACACAGGGAATCCTTTACTCTACTTGCTACTGTTCTATCTTTCTTACTTAACTGTCCTTTCTATCTTCAAAGTAAGACTGTCCATATGAAGTTGCTTAGTTTGCATCTTTTATTGCAATACATTCATTGGTGGACCAGTGTTTGAAGTAGTTACAACCTTTGCTACATGATAATTACTATCCAGTGGGTTGACAATGTTATAATGTATGTTTCTCTCAGTGAGGATATAGCTTAATGATTTTATGTGATCAAAATGAGCTACCGGCGGGCTTGTCCATCGCATTGATGATTACTGTTGGAACTTATGCACCTTCACTGGTCACCACACCTTTGTAAATGTATCATTGCAAGATAAAAGAAGTTAAAGAATTTAAAAAATTAATTAAAAAACATTACAAATTAATGTTTAGGATCAGTTGGAAAACAAATGGATAAAGTTCAAGATCTTGCTTGCTCAAATTGGAGTTTGAGATAATTAAGTACAAATTGAAGAAGGACTTGTGGAAGAACACTATTCCAAAGAGATCTGACAAAGAAAAAGACAGAGAGCCCTGAAAGAGCAGTAATAAATTCCAGCTGTTGGATACTTGCAATGTGCAATATAATAGAAATAAATTTATAAAAAGCTATACACAGTAGAAATGAAAAATGACATTAATTAGATACATTTTGATTGAAACTCTTATTTAATTTTAACAGCCTCCTTGTGACTCTCCAAGTGAGTGGAATGTTCAAGATCATAATCTTCAGTTACACATTAAATAAAACACCAACAAACTAGTTATTTAATATTTACTTTAAGTGTAACTTAATGGTTTTATCAGTTTGAACCCATTAAATAAATCATAAATATTTAAACAATTAAAGGAACACTCATTGGAATGAGTTGTTATGGTGCCAGGACATCCCTGGCACAGACTTGCCTTTTGACGCTACATCATTTGCAAATGGTATAACCCCACAAATATACAGATTTTGCTCAAGTTGTTTTGTGAAAGGGGAACTACTGACTGGCTTAGAGTAACAGTTAACGCTCTTAGCCAAATAGCGGTGTCCCTGACTGAGGATTCCTCTTTTAAGATTCTCAGCAGCAGAAGGACAACAGAGACAACAATCAGTTGCTGGTTATTGAAATTTCGAGTTAAACCATTTGTGAAAGATATAATCACTAGGTAAGCAGGCACCTGGCACCTCCTGGCACCATGACAATTTCATTCCAATGAGTGTTTAGAGTGTTCCTTTCATCAAGGGCAATGAAAAAATAAACCATATGTAGTGAATACAAACAATTCTCAAAAACATTTATGTTCACGAAAAAGTGCTTTTAAACAAAATGCAGAAAATCTAAAACTCACAGGAACTCCAAAAGCCTGTTTCTCTGTAAAAAAATCTTTTCTTTCTTTAGGAAATCTATCTTCTTCTTTTTTAATTCTTATATTATATTTTAAGATAATATAACATTGTATTATAGTATATTATAACAATGCTAGACAGGCCAGTCAATAACATTCTTGCATGCAGATAGAGACTAAGATTCGGCTTGAACGATGGCCTGCATACAGACTGAAAGCATAGTCAGGAGCAACCAGTGTGGCCACTATATCAGAGACCTTGATAGGCAGATTGTTGTACCCTTGGGCATTAAGAATAAAACTCCCCTTACATATTTAATAATGCACGAACACCAACACAATATGTTAGGTAAAATTCTGTCCACAGCTTTTAATATAATATAAATTTTAATACAAAAAGTAATTGTCAAACAAACTCTATGACAAAGTATATAACTAACCCCCCACAACATTACAATGACAATGACCCCAAAATTAACAACATATCACCATAACAATATAACAACATAAATAACACCATGAAACATAATGAAGTGCAAGCAACTTACCCTCATGATCCAATGTAGGGGTATACTGACATACCCCTACAACCCCAGATTCTGAGCCACAGGCCAGCTCGAAACCTACCATGCCAACTTGCCCGAATGATCCAATATAGGGGTATACTGACATACCCCTACAACCCCAGATTCTGAGCCACAGGCCAGCGCGAAACCTACCATGCCAACTTGCCCGAATGATCCAATGTAGGGTATATACCGAGATTCCACTACACCCTCCAAGTTCTGAGCAACTGGCCAGCTCTAAACCTACAATACCAACTTTTAAACCACATACCAACTTTTAACCATTAATGCAATCCCTAGTAATAACCCATTCCACCTCCTAATTTACCTATCCAGCCAGTGTGACCAGATGATGGATAACTCCAAACCTAACACAAAGTCAGGGAGAGTCGGAGGGACAACAGCAAGGTCTTTGAGAAAGCATTAGAATTGGGAAATTTTAAGATTGCTGCCCTTTATGTAGCAGCCTGCCCATCCCAGATAACTAGTAAATCCAAACACACTAAGTATGAATGGCCGCCTTCTAGCGCTGCTAAGGCCATATTCCACTAAGCTCCATGGTCTACCTTCAAGCTATTTGACCTTATCTGACAGTCTGTCTAGCAATAGGTACATATTTCGTTAGGAAACCAGGCATAGCAATAGCAATTGAAAATGTTTTCACCTAATAGTGGGGAAAGTTGCTACGAACACAAAGGACTTAGAATAATGCAGCAGACAACAAATGTTATGCATAACAGAATTCAGTGGCTGTGTCTCCTATTCTTCTCTCTTTGGATATGTAAGTGTTTGTAAAGTGTATCAGGTTAGCTTGGTGGTAGCACGTTTTTCTGAGCATTTAGGCACATTCTTCTTATTATTATCATTAGATATCTGTACAGGAAAATAAATCCTTGTATTTAAAGTTTACCATCTGCTTTGAAATGTATCAGCTGTTACTTACATATACTCAAATATATGTTCCTCATTTTCGTGTACCTCCACCATATACCCATAGAAATGTTTTCAATTCAAATAAATGTAAAATATCAACATTGTAAGGTGATTACTGTCTAATAAGATTCCATCCCACTACTTCAACATCAAAACAACATATTTTCCCAAATGCACAAAATCTAACATGAAACATGCATAACTGTTATATTATTTATTAAATATATTTCACAGAAGTGATGCTATTTTGTAGTCTCATATTGGTGTATAAGGGAAATATGAGCTAATTTATATCTTGGATATTATTAAAATTGTGTCCAGAAAGCATTAAATATGTGATAACCTACCAGATGGTTTGCTTGGAGAGGTACTCATTTGCAGTGTAACAGCAACCCTTTGCAGACACAACCTTCCCAGGTGCCTGAGAGTGATACAGGAATTTGGGAGATATATGAGGGTATGGGTGTTTTTATTTACAGAGGAAGTGATGAAGCCAGAAAGAACTGGGAGTAGTGTTAGGCAGCCCAATGGTCAGGGTTGGCAGCAAAGGAGCGAGGTCAAGAGTCAAGTCAAAGGTCAAAAACCAGGAAAACCACAAATAGGTAGGAGGATGCCAGAGGGCAAAGGTCAGAGACAAGAAGCGTGGTCAGAGTTAAAGCCAAAGGTCAGAAGCCGAGACGGTTTACAGAGAATCCGGAACTAGAAATCGGGGACCAGGAACAAGGATCAGGAACCAGAAACAAAAACCAGGACCAGGAACAAGAATCAGGAACCAGGAGCAAGAATCAGGAACCAAACCAGGATGCTAAGAGACTGAGGCAAGCACAAGAACAACCAAGAACTGACCAAGTGCAGTGCTTAGCTATTTATAGGGATAGCTAATCCATTGACCAGCTAGCGTGAGGATGTCCACCATCGTTTAGACAACCAAAAGTCGTCTAAGTACCTGGACGTCTCTCTAGTGACTGTCTTGTAGACAGCCACTAGAGGAGGACTTAACCCTGCAAGGTAATTATTGCAGTTTCTCAGAAACTGTAATAATTACCACTGTAGGGTTAAGTGACATGGGACATTGCACCCAGACCACTTCAAAGAGCTGAAGTGGTCTGGGTGCCTACAGTGTTCCTGAAGTGCATTAATAGTGACAAAGTCATGTTAAGTAGGTGGACTAGAAAAAAAGAAAGGCAAGCTATTAAACAGGATTTTTTGATAAGTTGGTACTCCAAAATTTGTAGAGCGCTTAGAAGGTTCCCAATTAAAGCTTCACTTTTATTTAAAATTCTAAAATAACAAAGCATCAATTCAAACAGGCAATGACCTGCCAGGAGGTTTAAAGGATTGAAAAAAATATACATTCCATCACACAAAAAAAAACCAAAAAAAAAAACGGATTAAAACATGAAAAGATGCTTGTATGTCTTTGCTCAGACAAAACACTAACACTGATGGTCATGTATAAAAAGTGCTGTAAAGGGGGCAATTCACTAATGTAGTGTGCCTGCTGGTTCCACTGCTTTCTATGGAAATTGGACCAATTTTCATAAATTACCCTCTTTTGAGAACACAACCCTTTTTTACATAACCCTGTGAACTTTTATTTACCACCATTATGGCAACTGTTAATACCATTTCTTATTTAAATGTCACCTATGTGTGTTGATTACTGAAAAAATAAATAATTGAAATAGGGAAGTGCAAAGTTCTGTTGTGAAGTTCTCATGCAGTCAGATAGTTGGTGACGTACAGTAAGAGGGCCTTTTCCAACGCAATAATAAACTTTCATTCCCCAAACCTAATGATAGCTTTCATGCATTTGATGCTTTAAAGGGTTTTGGTTCTCTTCTAATATTGCTGTTTCATGATAAAAAAAAAAGTTTTGTTTTTGTAAAGTTAATGTTTTTGCTATGATGAATACTAGAAGCATGAACTTTTTTTGAAAGTTTGAATAGCCTCTTCTCAACAACAGATTTTGGAAATCTTTAACTCATTTTGTGATTATTGATTAACCCATTCCTTTTCTGCTTAACTGGCAATGGTACTCTTAAATCTACTTTTAGATAAGTAATTTATTGGGTCTGTAGCCAATCCTGGGCAAAAGCTATAACTATTTATCTTTCATGACCACCAGTCTTGCCTGTACAAAGGCAATCTAATAAACTATATTAATCCATACAATTTAACTAATTGATTTTTAAAAATAAATACAGTAGTGCACTGTTTTGCTAGATATAACATATAAGAACAAAGGTCAGCCTGAAGTTGCTTCCTGCCACAAATAGTTTTTCAGCACTGGATACCCCTCTTTATTTTTATTAATTTGATGTTTCCCTAAAATTTGTTGAAGTTATCAATACCAAGTGTATTATAGTCCTCCTTGTTTTATGTAATCATCCTCTATAAATACTACTTGTCCCATATGTTACCCAAATAATTTCATACATACCTCTGAAGGTAAGATTTTTATCTCTTGAATAGGTCTTTCAAAATGCAATATCATTTTTTAAGTCACACTATTCACAAGTTAACACAATTTTATTTCTACCTGTACCCCAAAATGTTTTGACCAAGCTTATTAGCACCTGACATTAAGGATAAAATTGAAGACTACATATAAATTGATTTTACTTCAGAGATACAATATACTTCCTGCCTATAACAATACATATAAACCCAAAGGGCTATCCTTCAAAATCAAAGGCATATTCTCAGAATGTTAAAAGACAGATTGATAAGTACACTGTAACAGAGGAATATACGATGTAGCAAGTACATCAATCAACACACCTCTTTGCTGGAAAAACTACAGCCTTTAAACCACAGCATAAATTAAATAGCTATTTCTCAGTTCTGCTTGAAAACAATTATAATTCTGCATGCACTGGCAGAGAGGCTTAGTTCTTCATGTATAATTGAATTGAGCCTTCTGAACCAGTTTTCCTCCCATTTAGTCTTTTCCACTGAGTCTAATTTATAATCTTATTTGGTGTTGAAGCTTCATCTGGATTTTTAACAATTACTGTAATACTTATCTTGCTTCAGTCATAACACCTTGAATAAACAGATATTTGTTATGATGTTCAAGGAACTGTATTTTTTTTTTGTATATAACTCATTGACATGCATTTTATTCTGTGTATGGACGATATAAGTGTACTGTACAACACATGGATACCATAAGGATATGTAAAGAAGTATCATACATTCCATCATACATTCCATCGTTACAATCCACCTGATGATACCACAATAATGCAACAGAGTGAGAGGTCACTTGCACAAATGCTAATGGTAAATGGCAACATAATAAATACACTGATAAAAAAAGAGTTGTTTTTCCACAACGGTATGGAAAGAGGTACACTATAATTATATCATTAATATTATGATTGCAAAAATAGAAAAAGTAACCGCACTCAATTCACTTAAAACAGGGTGCTTACAGGTGCCTGAAGAAATTTATATTATGATGACATTAGTGTTGCAGACTTCAGTTGACTCTTTTGCGCGTTCTGGTATGTGAAATAATATCGGGTCCCTACTCTCCCTTAAACTTACCTCATACTTCCTCGCAGCATCTTCCCCTTTCTTCCTGGAGGTGCCTCGACAACACGTGCCTCTATGGTCTCCTTGCTATGCGTGTTTAATGGCAAAAGGTCTTTTTCTCTCCATCCGAAGTGGAACGAGAAAGACTTAGGGAGGACCCACCTCCATAGGTGCACACACACCTGAGCGATGCCCTATAAATAGAAAACAAGGTGTATTTGTGGGAGTGATGTGGGGGAGAATGCTTCTTCTTCCATATTTGACAGCTTTCCCCTGTCCCTTCTTTCTCCCGTATACTGTGCTCATAGTGGTGTTATCTTCCCTCTATGTCTGATATTTAACCCTTGCCTGGTTAACCATTTAAGAACCTGTGATGATTGTCCTGACCTTATGCATTCCTGACCACGCTTTTATCTGAACTGTCATCTACACTGCGATCTTAGTATTACTTTATCTGGCTTCCTGCTGCATAGTGGGCTCCATCTACTAAACCTGATGCATAAACATTTAAATCCTACTAGAATTATAATTTAAAGTGAACCTGACATGATTTGGCATTTTGCACTAAATATATAATTTAGTATAGTGATAAATTGTATAGATTTATTGTATATTTTTATTTTATTTGTCTTGCTTAAAATGACTGTCACAGTGATATTGTAAGCAACAGCTTTGGGAATAGGGCATCTTTTCACATATCAACGTTGGTCCATAGAGGATCCCACAGTTTATTCTCAGATAAGTGTGAGAGCACAACAGTGATGCTGCACCTGGTGGAGCTGAATAACAAAGATAGTATCATCCGCAGGAGACAACTTCAGGTTACTATATATATACATGTGTTAAGGCCGTTTGGCCTGTATTTGTGGAAAGGGCTAGAATTAAACCACTCCCCTATATAAGGTGCATCCCTTACCTGTCTCCACACCGTTCAAGGTCAGCGTCTGAATGCACTTCCGGTTCATCCAGTCGCCATTTTGGAATACTTCTGTGTCCCACGAGGTTTCCATCGCTGAACAGTGTCCAGGAATCCTTCTGCAGATTTCTTTGGTGCAACTACTGCTTACTATCGCCGCGGATCACGTCCTAGTGACTACTAAACAGTAAGTAGACCTAACCATCACGCCAGGCAACAAGGCCCCCACGGCATCAAATACGGTTCAGGTCCTCACTTACTGGACGCGTTCGGCTATTTCAGCACTCACATTTCGCTATATTATATCCATCCGGATTCAGCTGTTCGCTTACACAGCATTTTCGTTGCAACGTTCGGTACTTATATGACATAATTAATCGCTAATAATTTCGCATACATGCTTACGTTTGTGCGGTCAAACGCACGAACACGCTATACAAATACATGTTACTGATTCTCCGGTCACTTACTGTTCGGGACTTGCACATCGCATGAACAAATACTCACATATACTAAACACTGACAAACCCTGCTAGTCTTATGTTGTCCAGTTCGTACGGTTAACGAACGGACAATATAATAGTAACATGCTGAGAACTATACTCACGAATGGGTTAACAAACAGGTCCCAGTTACACATATGGGTAATCACATGGTTAAAGATTCCACACTGCCACCTTCAGGTCGGCAAGGATATTACCATTATTAAAATATCACATTAAGTTCCTGTATACCATAAACAATCTCACAGATATACCATACTTCTCCCTAGGAAAGTATATATACATTTATACAAATTACCTTTACTACTACGAATTCCTATCATTACAAGGCGACATACAGGGTCAAGGAGATCTTACAATCACCATTTCCTGGTCAATACGAACATAATTAAGATAATACAATTATGTCACTTGTATATATTTTCATATGGTGCATCTATTCAGTTACAGGTACTACTATTACCTATACGGATTGCCAGATTCAATAACCTATAATACCAGGTACGTACACCTGCTTACAGTAGAACCATTCAAATCCCCCACAGGACAGACAAGTACTGGCAATTAGAGTCATAGGGGCCCAAAGTTAATTCCCCCCGTTTCTGCATTCATGCTTAGGATTAGTGGTCCCGCGAGGCCAACACCCCGCTTCAAACTCGGGCCACACGTGAGCTAGCCGCCTGGCACATTGCATAGAGAGGGCCTCACCTGTCACTCCCTTTCCTATTTGCTGGTTACAGTCACCGGGAGGCCGATATCCCGCCACAACGTTCGGTGGCCACAACAATCCCCTCGCGCCAACCATAGGTAGAGCCTCTCAAGCCGCTTGGCAACTAGAAGGGCCTCACCTGTCACCAATAAACAATAAGCATAATCATTTCGCCTCACAGCATAGCTAGTAGCCAGTACTAAACTAATATGTTCAAATAATAAATCTATATAATAAAGCTATCTCTTCATGCCACCCCAACTAGGGTCCAGCATCAATTAGATCCTGGATGATCCCACGTATCACCACGGAGTTAAGGAGGCGACAAATCCCTTACCCTGCCACAGCAAGGAAAGCTGAACTATTAAAACTCCTTAATACTACAATCGACAACACGGAAGAAGGGGAAGGCCCCAGCAACACCAGTTCAGGTGACATCCAGGCTATGCTGGCCTTACTCATGACCTCTATAGGCAAGGTCAATGACAGACTGGCTAATCTCGAGGCAGTCACCACAGCCCTCACCAAGGCTGGTCTTCCTGATACTGCTCAACAGGCACCAACCGAACCACGGGCCACGGGTATGGTTATCTCCTCAGGTTATCAGGACGTTGACCCTGCATACACTATCCCAGCCAACATTAAGAGAGACATCCTGGAAGGCAAAGACGTCAACCTGGCATCCCTACTAATTGCCTCCCAGGATGTGGTGGAGAACAAAACCTATATGACCGACAAAGTTTCTGTAGTGGCCAGATCAAAAGACGTAAGGTTAAACCGTAAACTGACCATTCCAGAATTTGTGTTAGCCTTTGGTATTTTTAGAGATATAATTTGTGAAGTATACCCTAATAGAAGGGAAGAATTTGATCGATATATGCACAAGCTGGTGGACCTGGGGAACAAATATGGTGTATCTGCTTTTTATGACTACCATAGGTCTTTTTCCACTAAAGTGTCTGGAGCTCTCTCTCAGTATGGTACCGGTATCAAATGGAGCAGATTAGATACAGAGATGTTCTGTAGACACTTCGCAGGTCTCAAAACACCGGCTTGTGCATCTTGTTCTTCTACCACTCATACTACCAGTTTCTGTTCTCACACGGCAGACAACCGTAATCAGTCACCTAGCACAAGCTACGCGGGTAGAACCGAGAAAATCACCAGGGACAAACTGGGTCGTCCTATCATTTTCTTTGGTAAATCGCAAGTGTGCAATAATTTCAATGTGGGCACATGTAGCTTTAGTGCATGTAGGTTACTGCATATTTGTTCACATTGTTTTAGGGTACATGCGCATACCATGTGTCCAAATAAAATGTACCCTAAACCGTACCTAACGTCTGTTAACGTTCGTGTCTTTGCAGCACTTTTAACCAATCACCCTTCCAGACATATGGTAAATTTTCTCATTTCTGGATTCTCAGAGGGGTTTCATACAGGCATTATACATATGCCCACAGGCCAACTCGAATGCCCTAATTTACAATCAGCACAACAAAACCCAGCAGCCATAGACACACTCCTAGCCCAAGAGCTGGCAGAAGGGTTCCTGTTCGGGCCTTTCAAAACCCCATCTTTTACGGCATGGCGCACAAATCCCATAGGGATAGTAACAGGGAAAACTTCCCTCAAACAAAGACTCATAATAGATCTGTCAGCCCCTCATACCTCATCTACACTGAGTCTGAACTCTCTTATTCCCTCTGAGGAGTTTTCCCTGCAATATGCCACTATAGACCATGCTATTACAGCCATTATACCAGGGATTGGAGCATGGCTAAGTAAGACAGACATTACCAATGCCTTTAAACTACTACCTATCCATCCCACACTATGGCACTTACATGGCATAAAATGGGCAGATAACTATTACTTTTTCTCCCGCTTAACCTTTGGGTCTAAAAGTAGCCCCAAAATCTTTGACACTTTTGCGGAAACATTGTGCTGGTTGTTACTTAATGTGTCTAGATGCCCCATAGTCATCCATTATCTGGATGATTTCTTACTGATTGAAGCAAACTCCCTTCCCCCCAGGAGTCTCAAAGCAACTATTAGTTTGTTTGACCACCTTGGAGTCCCGGTATCCAACAAGAAAACCGAAGGCCCAGATACAATTATTACATTCCTAGGTATACAACTAGACTCTGCCTCCATGCAGGCTAGTTTACCACAAGACAAAATCACAAACATACTTTGCAGCATTAACCATTACATTTTGATGGGTAATTGCAACCGCAAGGAACTACAATCACTCATAGGTTCTTTGAACTTTGTCATGCGCATCATTCCTCAAGGGCGGGCTTTCATATCCAGACTTCTCTGTCTTTTTCCACATTTCAAACACGACAACTATAGACTATCCTTGGATGAGCATGCCACGGCAGACCTATATATGTGGAAATAATTCTTGACCACCTGGAATGGTAAAAGCTTGTTCCTACCAGAATTGACTGACATGTCTCCAACAATATGGTCAGACGCGGCATCTACCACAGGTTTCGCAGCAATCTTAGGAAACAATTGGCTTTGGGGTAAGTGGCCTGCAGAAGTCTATGACTTAGAAGGCTTTTTTACAACCTCAGCTCTTTTTGAGATTTATCCCATTGTAGCAGCTGCCGTGGCATGGGGACATTCATGGTCAGGCTTATCAGTCCGTTGCCACACAGACAACCAAGCAACATGTCACATCATTAACAAAGGCCGCTCATCATCCTTAACAATTATGAGATTTCTCAGGAAGCTCACGTGGTTAGCAGCACGTCACAATTTTTACTTGGTCTGTTTTTATATACCAGGCATTTCTAACATAGCAGCTGACAGTCTGTCTCGTTTCAACTTTCAGGCTTTTCAGCAAGCACTCGCGTTAGCAGCAATTACAGCCAAAGCCGCCCCTCCGTTCCAGCGGCTAACCATGGACTAGAAATAATTATGCAACATAGCAGGGTTCTGTCCAAACTGGCACTATCATCCAACACTCACAAAGCATACAACAGAGCCTTCACACTCTTCACAAGATTCCTATCTGACCACGACATAACGCATCCTTTCGTCATGACATCCATTATAGCCTTTGCTTCTTTTTGCCACCTTACATTACACTTATCTTACAACACAATCAAATTATACCTGACAGGCATTCAACATCACTCTACAACCCAATACACAGAGTTTCATGTCATCTTATCAGGTAAAGAATATACTTAGAGGCATTCAGAAATCCGTCCCTCCAACGCTTCCACAGAGATTACCTATAGATAACAACATTTTCCAGTTATTATCCGACCTGTTAGACTCCAAACCTTTTCACTCTACTACCAACGCAGTCATCAAAACGGCCATGTACATAGCTTTCTACGGGTTCCTCAGGCCAAGGGAATTCACTGCTATCGCCGCCACTCAAAAAGACAGATGTCTGCTACGCACACACATATGCAAACACATGGATCACTACATACTGGCATTACCGTAGTCAAAAACAAGCCAACACGCACCTCCCGTGGAGATCACCTATTTTCCTACACACACCAAATGGTGTCCAGTAGCAACACTGGATTCCTATCTTTCACTTACCTCATCAATAACATCGCTACACCTATTTTCCCTCAAAGGCTCTCTACTCACTACTGCGACTTTCATGCGATACATCAGATCTCTGTTAACCAGGCTAGGTCTTAACCCTTCACTATACTCAGGTCACTCCTTCCGCATAGGGGCGGCTTCCACAGCTTCCAGCGCAAACATACCGGTGCATACCATTAAGTCATTAGGGCGGTGGAAATCATCTGCCTACACAACCTACATACCGAAACCTACACAAGAATTAAGAAAAGCTTTTAAAGAAATGTCTGGTTAATTGTATAAATTGTTGACTGTATTAAATCTTTGATTATTCAATTTTTGCCCTCTTTATTTACAGGCCTACCGTATCGTCGGTATCGGCACACCACAACCGACTTTGCTCATTTATGCTATCTTACGTTCTCACTTGAACCTACTCCATATACGGCTAAATTGGCCTTTACACAAGTGTTAAGGCCGTTTGGCCTGTATTTGTGGAAAGGGTTGGAATTAAACCACTCCCCTATATAAGGTGCATCCCTTACCTGTCTCCACACCGTTCAAGGTCAGCGTCTGAATGACACTCCCACCCACTCCTCTTTTACAACACTTTCCTCTTTCAATTCTATCTTACTTTATTTCTTCTTGGCGGGCCCTCTTTATTTACAGGCCT